ACCCTTGGGAAATATCCCGTCGCAAAGCGGAAACGGAAATAAGGAAGAAAGTATAGTTATAATTTACGTCGAACCCGCGGATATCGATACCGCGGAGCTTGGAGGTCGGCTCTTAAAGAATTTCTCGAGGTGATCCGTGTACTCGAAGACGAAGATTAAACATTATCGCTCGATATCGGCGAAAAAAGGGTAGCTCTGTTCGACGAGCATCTTCTCCTCCGCGTGCTCGTTTTGGCATAATGAGAAGCTCAGCAGTTGGTTTAACTTGGCCGAGGATTAAGTTTACCTCGTTCCAAAGGCGCCAGAGCAGCGTGGAATTTCTACCTCTTATTTTTCCGCCTTTTCGCCCCTGTTCTGGAAAAGAGCGCTCTGTAGGTATTTCTTAATTAGCAGCAAGTATCTCGCTCCACGGAAGTTGCCTTATTAATTAATATTACAAAAGAGAGTCCCCGGCTGGCGTGCGGTTAGGGGAGTCCTTCTCCGCGATTTAACGTTTTGATCGCCATAAATTTCGATCGCGTAATTTACGAATTCGTTAAAAATTTAATCGCTGTTACGATCACGATTACCGTGATCACCAAAGTACTATCGATATGCTAGAATTTCGATTTACTTTCTCAAGAATATTTGTCGCGTTACGAGTCGTCGTCGTAGCTGTCGAACAAGTATAAGGGTTGAGGTAAAAAATGTTCGTTGTACAGTTCTCGGAAAGAAAAGTTTTTCGAGGTATTGTAAAACAGTGCCGGAAGGTGGCTGCAACAAGGGGTAAGAAAAGAAACTGAGAAGGAGAAAATGGCTATTTGAGCAGTTAGCGTTTATACTTTGACAAAGAGAAGGAAAAGAACGGGAACCGACGTAGGAAGCAAGCGGTCTAGAGTGGCACTGGAGTGGCCGGGTTCAAGCGAGAAGAAAAATATGTAATATCGCCCAGGGCGTTTTAATAAACCGAGTTGGCCAATCAAAGCGAGCGCTAAGGAGCTTTCTTGCCTTTTAACGACCACTTTTACGCGCGTTTAAATCACACTTCGCGTCGCTGTTAGTCGTGGAGAATAATGGGGTGGCGAAAAGCGTGTGCGAGGTACGGGCAACGGAAGGAAAAAATATCCGGGAAGGCGTAGAAATATTTTTATGACCGAACGGCTGCGAGATTGAATGAAAGCGAGACGGGGGCGGCGGGAGGGAAGCGTAGCAAACAAAAGAAAAGGAGAGAGGGGAGAACGGAAGGGCGGGGAAGGGAGAGAGAAAAGAAGCAAAAGACAGGGAAGATTGGTTGCTTTGTAACCGGTGCATGCACGATACGCTTACGATGGTGGGTCAAGAGAATAAACGCACGCGGCCAGCCACGCACACAGAGCCGCGATATATAACGTATACACGGTCCGGTGGACGAACGTAAAAAAATGCGAAAACTTCGCATTTCGTCCAGCCTCCATTTTTATTCGAGTCGGTTTTTCGCTCGAGCACCGCGTCCCCGTGAACGTCGCGTCGCGCCGCAACCCGCCGCAACCCGCCGCCCCGTCGCGCCGCAACCCGCTACCGCCCCGAGTCGGGACACGCGCGCTCATCGGCCGGATATTATTTCAGTCGGCGCATATTTCCGCAAATGAATTTTATGAAAACAGTTTTTGCTCTTTTAATTAATCGCTCTTCCGTTGCCAGATCCCTCTTCCCTTCCAGCCCGTGGTTCCCGCACTGTCCTCTTCACTCTTTTCGCCATTCCGTCGACTCACGTGGATCACCGGGCCGCGCACAGCTTTTAATAATAATATTGTTTCAAGGACCGGGAGGAGCACGATGCGTTCGGTCTTCTCTTTTAATCACGCTCAACGGATGGAATATGATTTTCGGCTATTCTTGCGTGGATCCTTGCTTTTCTGCCATTATCGTGAAAAAATATACCCGGAGGAACGATTACCGTTCGAACGAGAAAATATATCTTTCCTGAAATTAATCAAAACCCTTTAACGCGAACTTTGATCGCGAAACGTTGCATCTATCTCCCGCTCGACGTCTTAAAATGTAAAGGCATCCAAATTTTTGTTCCTTTTTTCCAACAATTAATTATATGCATCCGAAACTTGCCGCGCACAGGTTACAATCAACACCTTCGATCATCGAGCCGATGAAATTCTGTCCGGTGAAGTTGTTCAGAGGTATCCGTGATTCACGCGCATTAAGCCGGTCGATGCAGTTTGGTAGAAAGTTTCGCCTGCATTCGCGGAGAGGTAAAATGCCGCTTGTACCGACATTTTGTACAAACATGAATAATCGCTGACCAATTAAACGGCCGATGGGGGTTTCGTAGTTGGACGAACCTTGGAGCAGCTAGGTGCGCCGCGGATAATCATGGTCATAAATAACATTTATCGGAGGCTCGGTAGTCTAATTGCCAATGATTATCGTGGGCCGCACGAGAAAAATTGCCAATTTACATCGAATGCTCGCTCTTTCCACCGACCGTTTCCCGCCTCGGTTTACTTACCCTCGGACGTTCGATCGCAGATAAGCGGTTCCTCTTACAAAATTGCTTCGCATTTTGTTACCGCGATCGTTCAGTCGCCGGTCGAATCTCCTTGCATACGGTTACGCTTAAAATTCTGGTCCACGGACTGATTTTTAAATACCTACCACTAAGTGCCATTCGGTTTGTAATATTAAAAGTATTATTGGTATCCGCGCCTCAAAGAAATTTCGAATCGAACCGTAGAAACATCGCTCCCTTACTTTTTCCCCGTTAGCCGTGCCTTTTTGTTCCAAAGCAAGACCTAACACAGAGAGGGTTCGTGTTCGCGTTCGCGTTCGCGTTTGCGTTCGCGCCCGAATAGAGTCGGATCTCGCTCTCTTGAATACGCAATGCGATTTATTCGAAACGTGGCGTATAAAACACAAAGGACCGCGTATGATTGGTAAATTATTGAGGCAGTCCGGATTTGTCGGCCAATCACGTAGCCGTCTTAAATAATTCAGAGGAAACGGGAAGGATGCGAGAAACGCGGGGAAAGTCTTGAGTCGGTGCACAGGGATGCGAAGATATTACGCGGCGTTGACTTTCAACTCGCATGGCCGCGTAACGAAATCAATATGCGACTTTACGAATTTTCGCTCGCTCGATTCACCGAGTCACGGGCAAACAAACGACACACCGTGTAACATCGAAACAGTAATTTTATTTCAATTAATATTTCTATGATAGAATTATGATACAAAACATATCTATACTAGCGAACATACACACTTCCTTACGTATTCTCGTTCAGAGCTTTCTGTTTTTACATGCATCGTACATTTGTGTTCGGCATTCGTAGACGAGACGGATTCGGTTTTTCCATTAGATAAGCGGCTTGATTATAATGCGATCCGTTCGTCGATGGAAGGTAATCAATGATGCACGATAGCGTGCTTTGATCGTTGCCATCCACGATCGCTACTAATCGTAATCTATGCGAATTATTTGGTTAGACGATCGGTTAGTATTCGTGCGACACGATACAATGTCTTTCTTTCTCTTGTTCGCGTTGATCGTTACATTTTCACCTCGGATTTTAACACGCTTAGTGTTAGGAACTAGACGCGTATCGTGGAAGTATTCGTTACGTTTTAAAATTACAAAGGAAATGTTTAGCACGCGTCGATAGAAAAAACGTGGCAATAGAGTTCGGGAACGATTACAGGCTCGCTCGAAGAGCAAATTCTTTGCTAATGATAAATCAATTTTACGAGACATCGGTTCCATAGGGTGGGGTCGGAAATGACGGTATTTGGACAGACTCGGTGAGCCTATTATCGTTCGAAAGATTGCGCGACATGTTCCGCCGACAAATCTTGGAAACGTATGGCACGAAGGAAATAAAACATTTCCTCCGAGGCGCTGCGCTGCTCTTTTCTGATAGCGCCCGGCCGCCAATTCGAGAGAAAGAGAGAACTTTCGGCATAACTCAGCCTCGTTATCTGACTCGCAAATAAGGCAACGGAAAAGTTCGCGACATCAATCTGGGCCTCTACCGGGAGATTCGAAGTTGAAACAATGCTTAAGTCGCCCCGTAACGTATGAGCCCCAAGGGGTGGCGAGGCTGGCTGGCTGGTTGGCTGGCTGGCTGGATTGCTGGATGGCGAAGTCAGCTACCGATTCGATCTGCCAAGCCAACCTCGCTCACCAATTTCACCCCGTGGCCATTCCTCGAGTTCTACCTCCGGTAGTCCGTTGGTCCGGTACTCCCGGTAAAGCTAGATTTACCGGCGTTGCCCGCAACGGACAGCAAAGTCGACTACAAGAACAGCCAAACTTTGATCACCCCTGAGCATTTGCTTCACCCGCATTGTTTCCCCGTGAGCTCTAACCTCGAATCGCTCCATCCTTTCTCTCTCGCACCGTTACCTACGGTCTCCGTTCCTTTTTAGGGTTTACTTTAGTTCTCGATATTCGAACGTCGCGACGTAAATTTCGTCTAAACAGCACCAATAGTTTCGCGCGCTCGATTCGAACAGCTTCCAGTGTCGCCTCGCCTCGCCTCGCCTCGCGTCCTGGCTTGGAAGAATTCGAGACGACTCGTTGTTCCGAACCTCGGATTATCCCCTTCCCGTAATTTAACGAGTCCGATTCGCGATGAAGATTGTGGCCCAAACATGAATACCACGCGATTGAATTTTAGTTTCTATCAGTACGCCACAAGAGTCGGTCGCGATTCTTATAATCTCTGTTGCAAAGCAGTTTTCGTCGAGCTGAATGGCACGGGAAGGGGTCAAGAAATTCGGTATAATCGCATAGTCCGTTTCTCACCGACGTGAAAAGCTTCGACGCGACAAGCACTTAATGTTTAATAAATGTCGATTATAATATTTTACGCGTCGGAACGTAGCTTTCGCGAGCTCGTTGTTCACGTGCGGGTTTTCGTCGTTAAAACGACCTCTTTGTTGTTATCTTTAAATAGTAATCTCGATGGTAGAAGCAGACTTACTAAGATTCCAGTAACTAGCGAACCTTTGGAACGTGTGTGCTACGATAGTGACGACGATGATAGAAAAGACGTCCGTGTCGTTGAACAAATTTGGCAACGCTTCTCGCTATTCGATCGATATACGCTGGCGTTTACTTCGTTTGTCATTTCGTATCGTAAGGTGTTTGTGCATTGATGCCGTTTAAATTATTCATGGGGTTCAGGATGTTATGGGCGCTCGAGCTCGCTGGCGCGGGATATCCATTGTGGTTATGGGTTGTTTCTCCGTTTGCGTGTCTCTGCGGACTTCCCGTGGATATGGTCTGAAAAACAGAACGATCATGAAATTATAACGAGTTTCAAATTGTAAGATTACGATATTCGATAACTGGAGCTCGAAACGCCCGGTTATCGAATCTGTTATCAAGCGTTGGCTCGCGATGGACCAATTTCAAAGTTGGCTTTAATCGTCGGTAAATCTACGGCAGTGAAAAGATAGGAAGGAACGCGCAGTCCCATAATTACATCCGCAATCAATCGACCAAGCAGCGGCTTAATCTGATTCGAACAATTATTCACGACAGAGACTTAAAACTCGGAAGAGGGGAGGAAACGTTCTCGCAGCGAGAAAGGGGTTGACGCCACTAACGAATTCGTTTTAGACGCGGTGTTCTCGTTCTCGAACCTCCGTGTCTCTACGGTTCTACTCCAAAAACAAAAGGCCAGAAGAACGAACTTGTATCTCGACTCAACTTGGGCGTATCTCCCCCCGTCTCTTCTATCTTTTCCCTTTCGATATCCTCTCTTTGCTCTCCCTTCTTTCTCTCGAGTTTAGCCGTTTCCGTCTACCCGAGGTATACTTACGGGAATCAAACAGAGAGAGAGAGAGAGGGTGGAGAGAAGGAGAGAATATTTTGCGAGCACGAGACGACGCTAGGATAGGTAAGTGCCGTTGAAAACTTGAAACTTCGTATCTCTAGCTCCGCTGTTCCCTTCACCATCAGTTTCTCTTAGTTTCTCCGGCAAAGGTGTTAAATTATACAGGCTTAAAATTCGACAGACCGTGCGGCTCAGCCCCTCTCGTCGAGAATCCTCCCTCGGCACGATTTTACTCCGTAAGTTGATTGTGCTAACTTTCGCGCAATGAACGAACCTGCCATTTTCATGATTTCCCTCCGTTACCGAGGTTCGGTGTACGCGACGCGAGCTCCAAGTTATTTCTTACCACGTTAACATAAAATCAAACGATACGTTTCTTTGGCGACTTCTCGCACTGCACCGCCGCTCCGTTCGAAGTAAGTCTGAAGTAACAAACGACGAAGCAGGATTCACGAAGTGGCGGGGCCAGTAATTACCTCGTAAATAATTACGATAAAAATGACAAAGAGCCGCTAAAGAAATGCTTTATCACCGCGGTAAGGGGCAACTTTCTCTCCCGCAAGAATGTCTAAATCTTCTTGCCGCGACGAGAACCCTTTTCAGAGTCCGTGCACCAACGAGGACCATCGTCTTTTTCTTTTTCTTCTCGATACAACGCCCTACCATTTCATCTCTTTCGCTCCTCGGTCACCGCTCTTTGTTTCTTCCCTCCTTCCTCGGCAGGACCCCGTGCGTAATTAAGAAATCTCCGTGGAGGACTCCGAACCACCGCGCCGCGTCGTTTGGTCGGTACCACGGGTTAAATTAAGTCTATGACTTATTCAAGTTTTATCTACAATTGTCAGAGAAGGAATTACCGTCCCGTGGATTTACAGCCGTCTTCGTAATAAACTACGCGCGATCTGCGAATCGTATAAATAGATACGACACGGTATAAATTACGGAACGAATAATAACAAAATAGTTTAGAAATATCATCAAGTATTCTTACGACAGACTGTTTTGCGCCCACCAGCCCACCAGCAAGAGTTTGTAACTCGCGAGTTCAAGATCATCCTTACTGGATCGTATGGATCCGGTGTCGTCTGTATCGTACCTTCTGGTTTCGGGGATATTTATTTCGTATCGAACGAGACCAGTTATATACTCTTAGGTATCAGGTTGCCTGTTGTGCGTACAGGAAAGTCGCACGAATTCGAGAGTACGTATCCGTTGTCAGGTTCCACAAAGCCCAAATGTTATCGGGGCCCGCGAGTCCGAGAACGTCCCACGGTCGTACGGTGTATTTTTTATTTCGAATGCCTCGAGTGTCTTTCGCGCAGTATTAATACATAACGCGGCAGCGTAAGCGGGCCTTAACGCGAACCCCTCGCCCGCGAATAAGACATTAATCGTGACTCGACGAGAAGGCGAAGGCAGTTTGTAACTGACGGTAAATGCGGAGCATCCGGGGTTGCCGGGAGCTGGCGAGAATCGCGTGTCATTTGTCCGTTGATCTCCCGCGGCTGGGAACCAGCCAGGTGCAAGCTAGTTCCTCCGCCGCGCTGCTTTTCTTACCCGGAAAAATTAGCACCACCCTCTAGACCGTTCACCGACTCGCCCCGCCCCGAACCTCGATCCCTGCCGTCTATCCATCGGCCAGGGGCACGAGATGAGAATTAGGCAGGTCGTTTATCGGAGAAGAATCGTTTAGAACAGAATGCCGCGAGCCCCGACATTTTATCAGGGATTATTATATCGCGATGGGTTTGCCTAATGCGTTCCATCCTTTGAACTCTCCACGAGTTACTCGGTTCGAGAGATCGGCTGCTAATCGATGCAACAAATAGTCGAGTTTGTAAAAATATGTTTGAACCGAGGTTCAGCGATTTCTCTTGGCGTTTTAGAAAAGCGAAATTATACGCGTTTCCGACGGTCAATTAAACTCGACGCTACCGACTTTCCTGTCGCGCACAAGTCCACACAGAGCTGGACCCACCGAGCGCGAGTAATAATCGTTACAAAAGAGAGTCGGGGACGCATAGCGTTCCGTTGTTTCGCAACTAAACTCATAATCTCGCGTAAGCTTGGCCCCTTCCCATGCGAGTTTTCTCCGCGTGTATTGTACAAGGGTCTACCGGCGGAAGGTTTACGTAAAATTTAGTCAAGCGCAGTGCATCTAAAACTAATAATACCGTAATTAGCAACAACGACGTCCCCGACGATGTTACGAAGAGATCCTTGTAGCTATCCGTGCATACTTTTGCCGAATTATACAATTCATATTTTCATGCTTCGATACCCCTGCGTGTTCGATAACGACCAGAGGCGTATTCAAGAAGTTTAATTTAATTCCGGTTGTCAGTGTATGTTTCTGAAAGTTTCGAGGGTCTAATCGCCTGGAAGAAGTATAGAAGACGTTGTAATACCTTATTCCCCGTACGAATCTCGTACTGCACATTGATCCTCTTAAATTCCCATGTAGTCTCCGTCTTGGCATTAGCATATTATCTCCCTCCGCAAACTCCTTCTCGGGCACACTGCTTCCTCTTTCCCTAGTTCTACCCCCTTCAAACCTCTGATTCGCGGGGGACTTTGCAGACACTTGAGAGTTTGTTTTAAAACTCAGATAATCGTTTCGAGCCCCTTCCTTGTCCTCCTCCTTCTTTCTCGCACTCTGCTCGCCGATTCGCGCGGTCTCTGTTCCTTTCTCGTGCCACGTTCCGCTCTTTTCGACGGGTCTCGAGGGGGAAATTAGATCAAAATAAGACTTCTCGCCAATTTTTAAACGCGTTACAGTTGCGTCCGTTGAGAGGGGAAGATTATGTCGTTGAAACGAAGTTTCTCGCGACGCGATAAAAACGATTCTAACGATCTCGAATCGATTACAACTTTCGCCCCCGAGCGCGTTTTCCGAACGCGTTCAAAGACGCGGCTGACACTTTTGATGGATGAGCGGAGAATCTATTTCCAACGAGGCGATCTTTTCTAAGAGCAGCGGTCGCTGAGAGAAACCGAGAACGCTCCAAGATGGTAATTGAATATATATCGGGGGTCAGTATCGTTCTATTTTCTTTTCTTCTCGTCCATTTTCACCCCTCATTAGCCGTTTACCTCGGATCGTTTCGCGCACTCGAGATTCGTATACGTAACACGGCAGGGCATTACTTACCAGGGACCAAACTCGGCTACTATGGCTGAGAAAGATTGGAACAGCTGTCTGTTCTCAGGCAATCAGAAAAACTACCGTTCTCCTGGTTCGGTCGAGACAACTTTGCCATTCTCATGGCCACGGCTTAAGGGAAGCGTCGGAGCGGCAGCTGCCTCGACCGGGACGAGCACCCTCTTCGCGGTTTTTAAGAATCTTAACGCCCACCTCTTCCTCCTTCTCCCCCTCCTCCTTCTTTCCTGCTCTTTCCTCTTGATTTTCTCAAGCCGAGATAGCACCGACGACACTTTGCATTTCGTCACGACGTCTAATTCCAGCAGCAGCAGCGGCTTGTTTGGTATTCCGGAACCCTTTCGTTCTTAACTCCCGTTGGTCGTTGCTGTGATCCTTTTTATCAGGCTCGAACGAAACATTTTCGTAGATAGGATCGTTTATCGATGGTTTTGCTATAGAAGCAGCAGCATTTCCATCGATAGGGAAAGCTATAATGGATAGAATCCACCCATCCAACGCCTCTGAATAGACACGGTTCCAAACATGACAGAATTTCACGTTCGTCCCTGACAATTAACGAGAGACGACTCGTGATCTGACACTATCTACCGCGTCAAGCTCGCACCGGAGACCAGCTGTCTCGACGATCGTCTTTTCCATTCAGATGCTAAATGTCACAGCGACATTCACCGAGGAAATAGAACGGCCCTCGATGTTGGGTCGGCGGCAGACACCTTTGAGTGTTCTCCGCGATCGAAGGTATTCACGCTCCAGCAACGACATGTCAAGAGGGATCCATCAGGCTTAACGTAATAGATGCGCAAACGACATTAGCATGCCACGCCGATTATTGGCATTAGTCTACCGTCCCGTTATTTCGCGCACCGGTCATTTATAACCCTCGCAGCAGTAAACCCTCCGGCGAAATCGATATTCCATGAACGGTTCTCCATTCACGGAATAACGAACTATGTATCAACCGTCAAGAATCGAGAAGTCGTAAATTCCTCTTTACAAACTACACCTATAACGACTTTGTACATTTTTTACTCGAACTTGCTTGCAATTAAAAGGAAGTTTCTTTTTATCACGCAAGCAACGATAGCTAAATAATTATTACACGTATATGTTTGGTCCAAGAGTTTCAAACGCATCGATCTTTCGCGATACGTGGATCCCGGTCTCTGCTTCGATTTGCCGTACGCGCGAATTGATATTAATTAAACCAACACCGACGCGCACGGAACGTACCCGCGTATAAGGAAGCAGAATTGCACGCAGAAGCTCAACGTGCAAGAACATGAACGCTTACGTGGTGTAGAAATAGAGTCGCGAGGGTTAGCAACCCCTGAATTACACGCAGTTCGCTGGCAGGCCGGCCGAGGGGTGGAAATTTACATATTATAAGTAGTACACGGTGCCGAGTCTGATATCATCAGACTCGGGGACCACCTCGTTATTCTGTGCATGCGTACAATTCGAGCGTGTGAGCCGGCAATCTAGGGTCTTCGACCAGTCGTAAAAGTTTGTCTCGAATACTTGCTCAACGATCGACAAACGGTAATTGTTAGCGGACGAACAGAAACGTCCGAATCGAGGAATGGATTTTTAATCCATGAATGTTTATCGATCTAGTGCCGTCCAAGGGATAGAGGGAACGTCGAACGTCGGCAGTCGATCGGTAAATATTGCACTTGGTAAATTACGGTACGTGACGTAAGCATGTTAGGGGACGTAAACATCCTTGCAAGACGGAGGCTGGATTAAGTAGATCGGATCCTCCTCGGGTCAGACAGGACGAGGTCCTCCGTACAGCGGAGCTTAAGATATTGTTTCGAAGCACGGCTGTTGCTTTAAGATAATCAAGAAACCCAAACGGCTTAACGCGATGAGTTCATACTTCCAACTTGTAAGTAAGGGCTCCTTTCCGCGCTGCGAGGAACATCCTTGAAAACAACGACCGAGAATATATACTATACTGGTCGCTTAGGTTTTTTAATTCTCTTTTTCTCGGCCCGAAAACATTGTTTCGCCTCGTTGGAGGAGCTTGTTCGCTCGTAGCCGAAATTTCAGCCGGGTAATTCCAGCCAAGATACCGGCGTGTTCTTGTTCAAAGTGTAAATTCTTTCGCACGTTCCAGCACCGTTCGAGAGGACGGAACGGATCTTTACGGTATGCGACGAGGCTTGCTTAACGGGCGAGCTTAATTAATAAGGACACGCGATATCCTAACTCGTAAGACGATGGCAGGGTGGTAAAGCATAGCTGAAGCCTCGGGGGAGTCCTTTGTTGTTGTCGAGAGGGTCAGGATGAGCGACCTGCCACTTTAACCCACCTTAAGGGGTTACGTCTTGAGGAGTTTTGAACCTTCCGGAACACCCGATGATCGTAATCTTGAGAAGATTCAAAGCGGTCTGGCCAATGTTACGCGCGGATGCGATACGCTTGTATGGCCAGCATACAGATTCGCGATGGAAACGCGTTATCGATGGCATTTGTAGCGGTATCGCTGTCAAAGGATGTCAACCAGCATTGTAGAGGATCGCGTTGTGTCGCGGGACGAGCGACCGTTGTTGATTCGACCACGCGATAATCTCCCCGTACGTTTCGAAAACGCATTATTTTCTAATTACAAGACGTTCGATTACCTGTGGTTGAAGGTGCGTCACTTGTCTCTTAATTTGTGCCAAGGTCGCTGTTGGAGGCGGATGTACCGCCATGTTCGCGAAAACCAGCCTCTCTTCGTAATCGTACTCGCACAAGATTTTATTTTCGTACAAATAAAATCTGTCGCCGATACAGAATCTGTAAAAGAAAAACGAAGGAAAATTGAAGCGACGCGTTTGACAAAGTAATTCTCACCGTCGCGGTTGCACCCTAACGACATTTTATTATCGTAATATAACAGGATTTATTGTTATTTAGAATCACGGATACCGATTACCTTTTACGAGCATTATTAACACGGTGTGGTATCCTCGCGATCGCTACGGTCGATAAAACCAGAGAGTCACAAAGATTCGAAGAAACTCCGTCCAAGGGTTGTGACGGAGATAGGCGGAGTAGTAAAGCGTGCTAATTCCTTTTAAGACCGTTTTCCGTTCTGCTCCGGCGAGGAAATTGCGAGAAAATAAAAACAAGCAGCGAAATGCTACCGGTGCCCCGTACCTTCCGAGAGTGTCTTCGAGGTTCTTTAAATGTAAATTTCCGCTCGATTCGCAGACGCTACATCGTATCTGGATTACCGCCGAGTCCATTTCTGCTCTACCTTTCTCCATTCATTTTGCACAAAAACGTCCGACTCGGATTCCAAATCTTTTGCCACCGCGCATAAAGAATTACTTATTTCCGCGTTTCTTTATCCAACATTTTTTTCCACGTTTCACCGTTAACGCGACCAAAGAAACGTATCCTACCTGCATTATCGTTTTGACAATTTCAAGCATCGACGTAGCGCGTCTAAAAGTCGAACGTACGAAATCCACGGGATTTTCTAATAATCCGATGCGATATACGCTGCTATACCATACACAGGCAGATTTCAGAATGGTGGCGAAGTATGAACGTGCTTCGCTTGCGATATAAGAGAAATAAGGTTGCCGCGAGGGTTATACGGATCGACCAACTGTCGCCCCCGATGGGTGCGTGGGATACACGGCGCTGGGGGCCACCTCTAAAATCAAAGATTTCGCATTTTTCCATTTTATTGCCGGCTTAAAAGTCAATTTTTTCTGAAACTGCGCGCAAAGAACAGGGCGTCGTTCTCTTCGGATGTCCGCATAAAGGACGATACGCTGAAAATGCTAAAGAGCCACGGTAGCGAGAATCATAAGGGTGGCTGGCTTCCAACGAGCACAATAGATCCAGCGGGATCCGCGGGGGACTCGAAAATCGTTTTGTCAGGCTACGCGACTCCTTGGAATTCTTGTCAGGTGCCGCGAACATCGCTCTCCGAGTGTTATACATACTTCGTATCGACCGCGATAGCACGAGCCTGTTCCCGCGATTTGTCTCAGCAGGATAAAACGACGCCGTGGCTTCCTTATTCTCTAATTCTCTAACGCCTCACCTAATTATACAGCACCTTGCATACATACATACGCGTAAATACAGAGCTCGTTTTCCAGTGAAATTCAGTTTTCTTTTAAACTCGTTCGAAACTTTTAATATCACAAGGTACGTGGTATACTCGTACGTTGAAATTACTGCATTTTGTAATTTTCCTGTAAAAATTTTTAAAAGACACAATGGTTGGCGTATTTTGTTCGTCGTGCGATTTAAATTCCGGCTGAAAGTCCCGACGACACCAGAGGCGATGGTATCCGTCGCCAAGGTCTGTAAACTTCGGCTAGGTGTAAACGCGAAGGGTGTATCTTAGTATCGTAACTCGACGGTGAATAATAAAAGCATTTTTTCGTCGGAGGGGCAGTGCATCGGGTACGTACACGCATTGCGTATTCAACGGATGTGCTGTCCCGTGCTGGGATCGTGTTCCAGTTTTATGTCGGGATTTCTGCCGAGTGGTTTATACCGGCGCTTATGTAAATGCAGACGTGATTTTTTTCCGCACCTACCGGTCTACTCACCTGCACGACTGTACAGGCGATTTGCTGCATTCGAAACGAGTCGAGCTAGCCATCGCATCGCCGCGATTTTCCCAGAAATTGTACGAGTTTGTGATAAACAACGTCGTCGTTGGAAGTTTTATCGTTCGATTCCTGAGAAGCAATCCAACGGACCGACCGAATTTTGTTTCGCGTTCGGTCGGGAGCGGCAGAGCGGTTTCCAATATGCAACGCGTTATTACGACAGTGTCTCGATCGATACGCGTAAGGGGGATGATTTAGCGTCATCAAAAATGAATTGAAATAGCACCTGTTTGCGTCCGTAACTGACATCGCGGATGGTGATCACCCTTCGATTTTCCATTCTTTTAATTCTGTGATTCCGAAAGGGCGAGAGAGCAGAGAAGACAAGGGAACGGAACGAGCAGAGGGACGACGGTGAAGAGAGAAGAGAAACGGGGAAAGGAAGAAAATAGCGAGAGAACCAGAGAGCGATCGGAACATCTAGCATGGACCGCCATAAAAAGCAATGCTCCACCGTAACGGGGTACGATAAGTGCCATGGTGCGAAGTAAAATCGATCCCGGGGGCAGCCTCGAATCGTGCGCCATAAAAAGGGAACATTAGAGACAGGGCGAGAGAGAAGAAGAGGAAGAGAGAGAGAGAGAGAGAGAGAGAAGATGGGTAGGCGGCGAAGAGGAACACGACGGAGAACGAGAAAGAACCAACAAGATCATAGTATAATGATGTTGTGATTTCCCGTTTGGATACACGATGTAGATTGCGTCGATGTAACGCTAAACGCTTTCCACATTAGTAACGTTAATACGAGTTCCAGTATGGTTGGTGGTTCGTGGTATCCTTTCAAATCAAATCAAATCTTAGAGTTTCTTGAACGTTGATATTTTTCGATATTGGTTGGCTACCTATAGGAATAATCGAGGAATAAAATAGCAGCAACGACAACGATGAAAGGGTTGTTTCACAAGTCGTTAACCGTTCTCCGCGTCGCGACATTGAATGTTGTTAAGTCGAGAGGAAGCCTCCGAGATTCGTCGGCAAACAGAGCGAGTAGGAGATTGGAGGGTGAGAAACCCCAAACGGCAACACTTTGGCGGTAGTCAAGACCAGAGGCAGGGAGAAGATGCAGCCGCGGTGGGGAGGTTGCAAGGAATAAATTTTCTACTTGATCGCCGAGTAACAAAGAGAGAGAGTGAGAGAGGGAGAAAGAGAAGTGGTAGAGAAAGCGTCTATATTCTTGGTAGTTGGTGGCGGTCCTACTCAATTTGCATCAAACTATGGAGGGACAACCGCTCGTACCTTTGCTACCCCACACTGATTCCTCGCGAAGCTGCCGTTCTGGCACCTGATGGAGCTGTACTCCTACCCCCTTCGACGTTCCACGGTAGAGACTAACGCGTTTAGCAGAGACTCGAACCCCTAATCAGATCTTCCGACGGCACCAGGGTTTCTAAGGTGCTGCTAAGTGTGAAGTTAATGGAGTCAAGACGTTGCTCGTTCGCGCCAAAGTGTTTGCTCGATATGCCCCTAGGCAGCCTGCCGACAACCATCATTTTTTCTTAAACGGAAAGTTACAAATTTTTGGTCAACGAAAATGTACGCTCGTACTCGTAGCATTTTCTAACCATCGCAACTATTATCCACTTTCGTCTTAGCTGGCAATAAGGGAGAAACTATTTAAAAAAGTAGTCGTAGATATTAGAATTTTTATACGATACGGTCGATGGAACACGAGCGAATTTAAATAATATCTGATTTGGTCGCGGAGGTTCTGATCTGCCGTCAGGACGTTTCATACCGGGATGCTTTATTTCGATAATGGCTGCTTACCTAGCGCGTTCTCCTGTTAATTAATTCAGACTGTCGGGGTATCAGGGAACTGTGACGCGCTAATTCGATCAGAAGTGAATTCGCTCGCTTCGGTAGCGAGGGCTCGTTGTCGGCGCGCTTGGGGGAAGTGCGCTACCTTTGCTTCCAAGACAGATTTACCCCCGCAGACAGTTGACGTCGCTATCTAAATGTCGCTCCGGAGGCGCGTCGGAATGCCACTCGATAATACACAACGCGGCGCGGCGCGGCGCGGCGCGTCGCGTCGCGGCGTCTCGAATCGCGACTCATTGTCCGACCGTGCGCTGCACGGTGACATGGAAATGTTCACGGGCTCTATGTCATGTCATGCGTCCCATCGACGTCGAACCGAACGCGAGCGCGAGCGTGGATTCAAGAATAGAGAACGAACGCGCGTGACTTTTTGGTAATTACCTGTCTAAAAACGCCGTCACGCGTTCGCAATCAAATCCAAACAAACAAAAAAAACTAGAAGAAAATTTATAAATTGTAAATAGAGATTCTCGAACGCCGACTTTATTTCACGTTCCGTTTGGACGTTGAAAGTATTTGCCTTTCTATTAATTTCTATGCGGCGTGGAATTACGCGCCGGCAACCCTGAGCTATATTAATAACGCAGATTACCAAGGAAATTAAGACAGCGATGGGTCGTTGATACCTCGAGGAACGCGGCTTTGTTGTTACGGCCGATGGGGTTGAAGCGGTGGGAAGACGAGGTCGTGATATTTCTACGCGGCACGCTTGCCCGTCGCGTCCTGGTCGTCGCTACGCTCTTTAATAGCGCGTCTTATCGAACAATTGAAACGCATTACTCTTCGTTCCAGCGAAGGAAAACTACTTTAATTTTTCCCCTCGGAATTCCTTCGACGCTCGAGACTCTCCTTACCGTCTTCCTTGCCGATATTCTTTGGCGTTATGCTAATACAACTCTGCATTAATATGTAACGCACCCTGTCAGGAAAAAAAAAACAAACGTTATCGTAAATATACAGAGCTCGAGGTTCGTGATATTCAAGTTCAATAGGCTCTTGGTATCGCGAATCGATCGATCGGTCACCCTATGGATTCGAGAGAAAAAGTTCCGAGGCAAAGCGCAATCACATCAAAGATTATTTCCGCCAATAAAACGGAAGTCGAGTTTCGTCTGGGATGGGGACAGGAGTGTACGAATCGCTCTCGGTCGCGGAACAAGACGGGGGCAAGAACCATACTAAGAAAACGAGAAGGGAAAGGAGGGGAACGAGCAGGAAGAGGGGAAAGGGACCGAGGGGTTCGAAACAAGGATAGAACACGGAGGAGGAACGGTGGTAGCGAGAGGTTAACCGACAAGCTTGGCAATAAATCTACCATTCGCCCGGAGCTGGTACTTA